GCCAGATATAACTGATGATCATCTGGTATGTGCAATTACGAGAGCTGCGTGCCCCAAAAGGGGTCCCAAGACTTTTATGAGAAGAAACTTTGAGAAATTCAATTCTGTAAGATACAACGATGTTTTTTAATTCGTTTCGCTGCTGCGCATGAGAAAAACTGCTAAAGAGACGTGCTTGATGATCATGCTTCCTTGGTAAAGAAGAAAAGCACGAAACTATAACCGCCCTGCTTTAACTCTGGAGTGATAGCCACTGTTCACTTTTGAAATCAATTCAAGAGCAAGTATTATATCATGAAAGATCGAAGCGATTGGGAAAAGTGTCGGCAATAGGGAAATCGCGTTGTTAGCCTGAGAAGATCAATGGATACTTCGCCGAGCAATGTCCGAAACTATTCAATTAACTGAAGGCAAAACCATTATTTAAAAACACAACAAGATTGCAGATATCCTAAGTAGGCATTCTTTTAACATAAGCGCACCGGCTGTGAGCGACCTGAATGATCACGTTAGTATTCCTTTCCAGTTCATCAAAAAGAATATCTCTCTCAATGAATTTTTCAACTTCAGCTCAGTAAGTGAAACTAAAGTTTAAGCCGGAATCACTAAAGTCATTTAACATCAGGAGATCTACAGGATGCGATATTATCCCTCCCAGGGTGTTGAAAAAATATTCCAGTCTCAGCCAGAGATGCGAATACGCGAACTACACAGAGAAACTAAATTTTGCACTTAGCTGTAGTTTCGAGTTGGATCAATGACATGGGCCTTTTTCTAAACGCCAAGAAAAGAGAATCCTAAATTTCAGAAGATCCAATTCCCAATTCAAACAAACGAAGGAAGACGATGCCAGCTTCCTTAATCGATGGAACACCAATAGAGCCTCTTGTTACCTGCAAACTCTTAGGTGTTCACTGGTGGTCAGGGGAACATGAGCTGCAAACATTTGGTATTCAATTTCATCTTTGTTGTCATGCATGCATTGGAGACTCGTAATGCCGGTAGTTGCGCTTTAATTTGCTTATGCTGTTGAATTGGTTATGCTTCTCCAACTGAAAGGAGACATTAACCGCTCGAGAACGTCGCTAGAGATCAATAAACTAAACCTCTAAGGGTGGTGGTGTGGGCGGGAAAGCGTTGACTAGTTCGAAACTGACAGAGCGTCAGAGCGATATGAAACCCTATACACCGGAATAGCCAAGACTAAGTGATGAGGGGCGTGTTCTCTACGGTAATTATCCATCATCACCCAGGATGATCATTGTACTTAGTCAATTTTGGAAACTAATTTAAAGGATTTCCAGTTTGTTATCTTGAATCTGCGATGGCATTACACTGCGAAGGGCTAATTTCTGGTGAACGGGACAACACGAAGTAACTAAGCCTCTTAAGCTTTTGGAAGTGTTGTTATTTCCCTTTTTCAAACTAAGTTATGTTACTTTTATTTTCCTAAATATTTGCCTGCGTCTTAATTTAGGCTTTAACGGCATAATTCATGTGATGAGCATCTAATGCTGTAAATCATTTCTAACTCGTTGACTTACCCATTGTTCTTTTGCTGTGAGTGGGTTGGCTAATTTCTTGTCCGAACTCCGCTTGGTATGAGGCGTACAAGAGAAAGGTGGTCAAACCAAGGATAAAAATCAAAAAAGTGGCAACTTTGCCTCTCCTTGTTAAGATCATTTTGGTTCCGTTTAAAGTCACCCCGTTTTGAACTTTTAAACCTGCGGATAATAAAAATATTTATTCCTATGGTAGAAAATATCAGTTCATCGCAAAGAGAAGGATGAAATCTAATAAAAATCGCGATTTTGAGACGCCATTATTGAATTGTATTGGTGGCTAGTCGAAGTGAAATATATTGTAGTATTGGGAAGAGTTGTATAGCGACGAAGCTAAATAGGACAATGTATTTTCTCCCAATTAGCTAACCGCCAATGTAAAGCGGTATTGGCGTCTCAAAATTTCGACTGGTTTTTATATCGCTATCCACCCATCACAAACATTATACTACTAGCTGAGAAATTTCTGAAAATTAACTGTCTTTGATTACAAAGTAGTTTTAACCAAATTTGAAAAACCGTCGAATCTGTATTAAACGACACCGTATTAAGCGGTAACCCTGTATTAAGCGGTCGGTCACCAAAGTCTTTAAAATGTTCCCCTCTATCATTGTAATTCTTACCCTTACTAAGCGGTCATCTCCATCGTTATATTTCTCTTTTGAAGTGATTGGATTGTTTCATTTAGTCGCAAGGACTTGTCCCACGAACAGTTCACACGTAGGAACCTGGAAAATTTGGCGGGACAAGTTCTTGCGACTTCTCTCACGAATTCAAACCAGTTCGAATTCGTGGGACAAGTCGCAAGCACTATATTTTGGACCCTGCGACTAGACCATCTGATGAAAAATTTAGACGGCAGTTTATTTGGAGGGACCTAGTCCTCGCTTTGAGTCGCGGGCACTAGTCCTTTCATGAGTGCCGATCTTAATGTAACCGTTCTACCTCTACAAAATAACATCAAAGCAAACATCAAACATCCCGTTGTTCAAAGGATGGATAAATTTATCCACTGGATAAGTTTATGCGATGTATAAGATGGCTATCCAGGGGATAAAAAGCTGTTGCAAAAAGCACGGATGGCGAGGCGTATAGTTATCCGAAGGCTAACTCGCTGTCCAGGCAGTTGCCATTGTGATAATCCAGGCGTTGCGTGATCTTTTGGCTTGCGCGTGCTAGTGGCGAGACATGGCACAAAATTTTGCTTCTTCCCCTGCAAAGCGCGCCAGAAAACCAAACTTTACACCTGCGGAATGGACAGTTATTTTCGAAGAGGCGGAAGAAAATATTAAAACAGTCAAGAGTAAAATTTCCACGACACTTTCTAACAAACACAAGAGTCGGGTATGGGAGGTAATAACTGACAAAGTCAATGCGCTCGGATTTTCCAAAAGATCTGCCATGGAAGTGAAAGATAAGTGGAGAGGAATGGTGAGTGGAGCAAAGAAAGAACACAGCAAATGAACCACTGCTAGAAAGAAGATCAGGGGTGGAAAGAAACCAGATTCTCCAAAGGCTACCACAGCCAAAATTATCGAGCTTTTCGAAACAGACCCCTCTTTCAGCGGCATTTCGTGGGATGTCGATTCTGGTAAGTCCACTTATGTCAATAAATATATTGTCTAAATGAATAGGAGTGTTACATCCAATTCCCTTAGGTAATTTTTAAAGAAATGTATACACCACTTTATGGTGGAACTGCTCACAAGAACTAAAGAATTAAAGAATTCATACATTTTGTACAAATTTTTTGCAGCACAAGTTTCAAGCTCATCAACAGTGGATATAGAAGTTCTTGGACTAGGATGTAAACTACAGCCTGTCACTTCACCCTGTGAACTCCCGGAAACCTGTGAACCCTCAGACCCCTGTGAAGCGTCACAGCTAGATTGCAACTGCAGTATCTATTCTGATACCATTCCATCTTTACTATTCCAGATGCTGGCAATACTTGCACCTGGCTTTCCTTAAAAAAGAAAATGTAACGCTTGATCTGGAAATTGAAAATCTAAAACTAAAGGAGAAAGAAATAACATAAAGGATTATGGAGCTCGAGTCCGGATCAAATTCCCACATATATATATATATGTATTTCAAAAAGGACTAAAATGAAACACGCATGATTCCCTGTAACTCTGAGTTTCGTGCTTACGCACTCGTCAGACAGGGATATATGTATGTATGTATAGTACAGCTAAGAGGTACATGGCCAACGCACACGCAAAACCTTTGCGCGCTTCATTGCGTTCTGCACAAAAAGAAAAAAAGAAGCGCGCGTCAAAGCGCATGTCTTAAGCACATTTTTGTTTTTGTTATTCAACGCAGTCAGCGTGCTTGTTTGTTTTGAGCGTTATCCCTTCGTCAGAGCGATTCCTCATTCCCCATTCATCATTCATCATTCATCATTCATCATTCCCCATTCCCCATTCCCCATTCCTCATTCCCCATTCCTCGTTCCTTATTTTTAAAATAGCTCTGTCCTGGTTTAATGTCTTAGAAGTCGAGTAACTCGAAACTTAAGTTAAATTATGATCCCGCCGATAGCCGTCCTATCGAAACGGTCTTAATCTCTAAAACCGTCTTAATCTCTAAATTTCCTCCACTCCCCCATTCTCCATTCTCCATTCTCCATTCAGTCCATTCTCCATTCAGTCCATTCTCCATTCTCCATTCCCCCTTTCTCCATTCTCCATTCTCTCCATTCTCCATTCCTCCATTTTTCCATTCTCCATTCTCCATTCTCCGTTCTCTTTTCCCCCATTCTCCATTCTCCATTCTTCGTTTTTCATTCTCCATTCCTCATTCTCCACTCCTCATTCTCCATTCCTCATTCTCCATTCCTTATTCTCCATTCCTCATTCTCTATTCCCCATTCCCCGTTCTTCCTTCCTTGTTTTTGAAATAGCTCGGGTTTAATGTCTTAGAAGTCGAATAACTCGTAACTAAAGCTAAATTATGATCCCGCCGATACCCGTCCTATCGAAACGGAGTACATCGCCGTCTTAATCTCGAAATTTGGGTCTAACGGTCGTGAGCACGGTTTCAAAAGTCAGCGATTTGAAGCTTTTGAAAAGTAAGGTTGAAACTCCAGTAAGTAGTTTCACATTACACTTTAGAATCGTGACCCCGTTAAATTCCCACGCGCGCTGTCCTGTTTACGTAAATACGAGTCGCTTGCAGTATTGACATAGAATATAAATGTTACGCACGACATTTCAGGAAATACTTCTTTCGTAAGAGCGGTTTTGCTTCGCTCGTACTTTTTATTCACGCTTAGCGTTTCGATTTGATAATCGTCATGACAATTTCAACAGACAGTCGTTATTGATAAGAATTGAGTACGGCGCCGTGTTGACGATGAGTGGAGTTAGGGCCCTTTCTGCTCTGACGACAAAGTTGTTTATTCAGACAAATTTTCTGTCACCAACATTTTATAAGTATAAATGGTTTGTCCCGATTTAACATTTTTTGGCTGAAGCAGATAAATCTTTAGACGCACCGCCGACAAAATTTTTAAATTTTACATTTAGCAAAATTGACTGAATAAACACAACCGTGATAACCTTGTCAATCATTTGTCGTATGAGCTACGACCAGCGTGTAATTGAACTAAAATCAGTTTTCTAGAAAAACTTTAATTGTTATTTGCTGCAAATCTCAGGGATTCTAAAAAAAATTTAAAACGACTTGGGATAAATCCTGGAGATTGGAGGTGGAATCCTTTGGAAACTATGTTGGCCGGTCTTATGAACAGATCAGGCGTCGACGGAATTTGAAGGCTTTGAAATTGTTCATATGGATGCAACAGACGAAACAAAAATTTGCATAACAATTCTAGTCCGTCCGCTAGTGCGGAAAGGCCCTTATCTTCAACATTGTTAGTAATGACTTGTTAAACATGGGTAACTACGTCGTACTTTTACATTTCGGACCTTTAGTGACGACGAGAACGTGAACTTCACCGTCCGGAAGTTGGGAAAACAAACTTCGATACTACCACGCATGCCCGATCGAGCACTACTCGTCGTCCATATCTCGTTCAGGACGCCATTTGCCGCCATCTGCCGTCTAGTCGTGAAAGTAAGTATGTCACACTTAAGGTCAAGGTAAATTGAACGCATCAAATCGTTCGAACAGTAGCAGCGATCTTACCTACTTGTAAACAGCAATGTCTTCAAGCTTAACGTTAAGGGGACTTCACGCAAACCGAAAACGACTGAATGGAATCTGATTTTCTTTTTTTGAACCTAAAAAAAACCTTGTAAAGGCATTTGGAAAATACTCCTGTTCCAGGAAACTACAAATAATTTCACATAATTTAGCAAGTTTTCAAGTTTTGTTGCTAGTAAACTTTTACGACAACGACTTAATTGAACTTGATCTTCCCTGATCTTGTCCGCTTTCTGAAGAGGTACATGGCGGTTCAAAAACTTTTTCCTTTTACTTATATACTACATTGGGCATTCAGTTCTTGGATAGAGAAAACAATGATAAAAATAATACACTTCCATTGGGAATTCAGATTTGTTTTATAATAGTATGGGGCTGTGCGGAAATTTTACCTTTTATATTTCTCAAGCGAATTACTCAACATTATTCACTTCACCATCAGCAAATAAAAAATAGTACAGTTGCTCAGGTGCTTTCGAATTCTCTAGGAAAATTCATTACCTGACAAGGGAATTCCCTGTTAAATTGCACATGGGGATGCGATGCAATCCTCAACAAATCAGAGGGTGCACACCTCCATTATCACCGGAACAATTAAAATAAATAAATATATTGAAAGCTCACAACATTTTGGAGAAAACACTGGTGTCCTTTGGATCCTCAGTCTAGGAGCTACTCATTAGTCAGCGGCACACCCTTTATCATCCATGTCACAGTCCCCTGGCTCTGGTTCCCTTAAGTTGACAGTGGGGTTGTGTAGAGTGCAGCAAGTTACAATTATGGTGCATACCCTGTCATGAGCCATCCTCAATTCTGAGTGTAGCACATGGAATCTCCTCTTCAACAATCCAAAAGTTCACTCTATGGTACATCTTGTGATCTTGTGGGCTCTGTTGAATGCTCCTCCTGAGGTATTTAGGGGTTGAAGTTCAAGGTTACCCCATATAGCTAATGTCCAGAAAATATGGCAATCATGAATTGAACCAGGCCATATAGCCCCAACATCAGTAGACATTCCTGCAAAATTCAATTGTATTCCATACACAACAACTGGTTTTTAACTGCTGTGAATATATGGAAGTCGTATATTTGAACTGCGGTTATAGACGTGAATAAGATGGCGAAGATTGCCTGGTTTTTAACTGTTATGCTTTATGTTATGTAAACAAAATTTTGATATTCCTACCTATAAAATTGTCATAATGTGAACAAACACATAGGCCCCAAATTTGGAGCAGTAATCATGGGATCACTTCATTCATTTTGTCAAAATAGAGTATTCGGAATGGGATTGCTGCTAACAATGTAATACAGTTCGTAACTTAAAACAACAATTAACTATGCTAACCCTAAGCAATTTATCCCTTTCTTGATATGGTAAACTTCAAGACATCCCTTAGCCTGTATCTTTAAGCGACGACAAATTACACGTTATTAAACAATGCTACTGAGCGAGAGAATGCTCTGTATTGCTTTTTTCCAGCACTTGAACCAATGCAGTCCACTAAAAGAATGTCCATGCTAAAGAACACATTTAGTGATCACCGAAGAATATTTTCATTGTTGTTATGTCACCATTGGAAGACTCAATACCCGTTTGCAAAAAACAAAACTGATTAAATAGAATCAGACGGGTGATCGCACAGTTCGAAAAGTCGATCATTTTAAATGAATTTCATTCACTTGTTTACAAGGTAAATTGTATCAGCGTTTAAGACAATCTGTCGCACACTGCTCCTTACGTGACAAAAAAGCGTTACACATTGGATGCGAAATTTCTATGGCTTTCATGACCACATTTAGGACAAAATAACTCCTGTTATTTACATATGATAGTATGCACAGTAAAGGTTAGGGTTAAACGGACATGTTGCCCTTGCTAAATCAATAATCAGAGCTAGACATATTTGCTTACCTCGATAGTCGCAGATTGCCTGGACATTTTGATGGAGTAAAATCCTTTCCGGTTCATGAAGTCGGCTCATTTTCGTGAGGGGCAGCTATTCTAACGTGAGTACCGTCGATAAACCCAATGGCACAAGGAAAACCTCCAACTCGAAACATACTTTCCTTTATATCGTCTCGTTCCGCACGAATGGACGGAAATCTTACGAAGTCATCGCTTGTGTCACACGACAAACTACTCGGCTAACAGTCGACTCATCAAATCCTAGAAAAGTATCTCCGATCACATGCAGAAATGAACCCGAGGCCAGGACAAGGACTTGCATTATGGCTGAGAAGGCATGGTTCTTATTTGTTTGTGGTGTTATTTCGAAGTTGATTGTCGGGCAACGATCTGACTTGGAACGATCTGACCATGGAACGAACCTCGAGCAGCGGCCATTTAATTTTTTTACTATCCGATGGATACAAATTTATACTACCTACCTAACCATGGATAATTTTATCCGCTGGATAGCGAGTGAATAGCACTATCCATACATTGAACCGATGTGACGCCGGGGTTAAAATTTATCCACTGGATAGCGATTTATCCGGCGGATAGCAGTTATCAGTTCTTTGAACAACCGGGGCCAGATCCTAAGAGTGCGACTCAAGCTGACACGGTCCTCAAAAAACGATTTCAACAGCTTCTAAGTTTTTGAACATCGAGTTAAGAGCTTCCTCAAACGAGCTAAATTTCATTTCAGTTTCCATACAGCTTTGTGTGAAACAGTTAAGGTTTAAGATAACGCTTACAAGTATAAACCACATTGTATCTACGACTGTAAGCCCCTTAACAAATAATGCAAGCGAGCATCAGATTCTAAGAATGCTTTTGCGATTGAAGCTTGCGCAGAACTCGAAAAAAATTATTTTAACAGCTTCTAAATTGTCAAACAATGATTGAGAAGCTTTCTTTGACTCAGCTCGATTCCTTCTCAGTCTTCCATACGGCTTTGTGAGAAACAGTTAAGGTATAAAGTGAGGTTT